GGCACATAACCACCAGCCTATGCAGATGCTATTTGCAGTGTTTATCAGGATGAGATTAGCAGTAATAATAACCTGTCTATTTGGAGAGAAAGAAGAATGATAGATTTGAAAAGGTGTCCATTTGTCTAATTTTTCTCAATTGTTTTTCTCCTTTTGTCTATCATCTTCCAATTTCCAAGAGTGCAAATTTTACCTATTTGCGTTGTTCCAAATGCACAATTCCAAGGTTTCTTTGGCTGCGTTGGAAATTATGATTGGAGGAAGTACACTCAAATTAGTTTGAATCTTGGGACAGATTCCTAATTTTCTTAAAGCCTCACTTTTTTCAGATAACTGTATGTACCTCATAGTACTCTTAGGAGGAGTAGAAGGGAAAATATATGTAAGAACTATATGGTATGAAACAAAAATGTCAGCCAGTAATAATGTTGATGATGATCTTGTTCAAACCCACTCAGAGGTACCTTGAAAGACACATTATTGTTCCCGTGTTGGGGAGGGCAATGCACATGAAAGGGAGAGGAGGCGGAAGAACAAGGTAGATAAGGGAACATGGGCTAAATGGGGCAGAGGTAAATAGTGATGCATACTCAACCTTGGAACACCAGGGCTCTGTGATACAGACAGGGATAGAGGCATAGTCTGAAGAGGGGAAATGATACTAAGATGCTTGACTGTCTTGATTAGTCTGTGTAGCAGTTCTACTCTGCACACATGGGGTCACCATGACTTACAATGGACTCAATAGCAACTAACAATTGTCCAGTGTAATGAAGTCAACCCCTTACCACTGCCACCGCCCTCCCCCCCCAGAACAACAAGCCGTAAAAGCTAACGTGTTAGTGACACATTTGGCTTTGTTGTAGATAATACCTGTGCGTCTTCAGCATTCACTTGTGGCTCTGGGCAGTGCATCCCTTTACTCTGGCGCTGTGACAAGCACAATGACTGTGAGGATGGCAGCGATGAGCACAACTGTCCCTCCCAAAGACCTGTTTCCTGTCTGGAGAACCAGTTCACCTGTGATAATAACCGATGTATCTCGAGAAGCTGGGTTTGTGACACCGATAATGATTGTGGGGATGGATCTGATGAAAAGAACTGTGGTAAGTCTTAAAACGGCTTTTCCTTGATTGGTGAGTTTAGGAAAGAGGCCTTTCCAGTAAGCGTCACACAGTTTGCATCGCATCTTAGTCAGCCATCTTGATTCCATCTGTCAATTGTATAGCTTGTACCAATAGGCTATAAAAACAAAGGCACTTACCTGCATACAGGGTGCATATTAGAGTCTCCCACAGTATAGAGACCTATGGAAAAAATACAATGACAAACATCTAGATAAAAATGACAAAAAACAAAACATTAACAAAATGAAATGAAAAATCCTTAACTAATTCTTCAGATATTTAAAACAATATATATATATATCGCCAGAAATTATGCTATTGTTTTTTCTTTCCGTTTGATACAGGCAAAATGGCAGTTGAATATGAGGCACAAAGAATTTAAATTTCCAGCCATCGTATCCACCATCTTCCCAGTTTTGATTTCCTTTTTGCTTGGTGCTTGTTGTCATGTCTGCCATCAGAGCAAAGTTCCCTGGGCTAACTTCTTGTTCATAAGAGTAGTCAAGTCACTTTTCTTTTGGGGTAGATAAGATTTAAGACCCCTCCTGGCTGAATCATAATGTGATTGGAGCAGCTAGCACATCTGACTTCAAGATTATATTTTATCAGTAGGAACTTGGCCTTTTCTTTAGAATTATTTTGTTAGACTTTGGATGAAATGTGGTCATTGTGATCTGTCTAAACACTGTTACTACTAGGCATGTTGGTTATACCTTCTATACTGCCCATTTGGGCTCCATTGTTTAGCTTTGGTCATAAGTAGTGTTTATGAGGTGTTGTCACTGTTAAAGAACATTTTAAGTGTGTTCTATTTTTCCTCTTCTTTTTGGGCTTGATGGAATAGTAATGTATTTACCACAGAGACTGAAAGTACAAAGTTATAGCACTGACTATAGAGGAAGACTTTCTCTCTGTTGGCTCTGGGGAAAGAGCCTTGTCTCTTTCAGTTTTTGTAGCCACAATATTCCTTGGTTCCTTGATGATCTACATATGGAGGCTCTTCCTGTCTACTAAATTGGGAGCAGATCATCAGTTTTCTAATCAACAATTCATCCACATTTTGTTTCAACTCATTGTTTACAATCATGTATCCTTCTTTCTTCCTAACCCTGCTGAATTTGTCCTTGGGTAAATGCTGACCTTTTGATCTCAAATGGTTAAACATTCTGTGGTGTCCATACCTCCCTAGTACTGTTGTTCCTGTACAGACCTGCCTATTGTTTGGTTGAAAAAAAGTGCCACGGGGTGAGTTCAGCTCTAGATCACAAAGATGACAAGAGTCTTGGGGGTCCCATCAGTATTTAGCCAACTGATAAGCCTGGTCTTTTTGAGTTTTGTTCCACATTTTCACCCATTCTATTCAGGATTTTTACTGTATCAGGAAACTTTTAGTATGATCCCTTTCAGAGCTGTTGGTTGTGGTATCCAGGTACCATCTAAACTTCTGGTCTCAGGGTCATGGATACTGATGTTCACATGGTCTATTATATTAGTCCAATGGACTAATTGCTTACATGGGACTTCTGTTTTTATCATTCTTCTATCCTCTGGACAGGGAAAGACCAATTATTGCATCTTAGATGACTGCTCACGGGCTTTTTAGTAGCTAAGGTACCAAAGATGGATGTAGAACATTGCTTTTATGGACTGTGTTGTATCAATTGACCTTAGTGTCCTCAGGGACTCTGATCCTGAGCCCCCAGCCTTAGCAGGTGTTTGGTTTTCACAACGTTGTCCTCTGTGCACTCCAAGTGGTTTATTTTTCAAAGTGTAATCAGTTTCAGGTTCTGTTTATGATCTTTCTACTCCTGCTTCCAAAAGTTGTCTTGATTTTGAATTGTACAACTGAGATAACTTTTGTAGTTATTTAACATTTTTTCTGGTTTAGTTCTGGTAACCATTGAACAAGAAATAAACTGTTATTTGATTTATTTTTGGATGACTTTAGAAGCTATAGAGACGTGTGACATTAATCAGTTTCGATGTCCTGACCATCGGTGTATTGCCCTGCCTTATGTCTGTGATGGGGACAAAGACTGTGTAGATGGATCTGATGAGGTGGATTGTGGTAAGCAGATTGATTTGTTTTTATATCTGATACTTAGAAAATGTTCAGTGTCTCCTCATTCACCCAAGCTGATTCCTAATGCTTTTCTCTTTCCTCCCTAGTATTCAACTGCACTGCTTCTCAGTTCAAATGTGCCAGTGGTGATCAGTGTATTAGCAGTGTAAACCATTGTGATGGTGTTTTTGACTGTTATGACCACACTGATGAGATGGACTGCCGTAAGTATCATGTACATAGCATGCCTCAGATGAAGGGATTATTTCATTTTTAACAACATGGATATTATAGCCAAAATCTCTCTAAATTATCTCAAAGGAATACAGTATTGAATGTACAGTAAAACTTTGTAGGAATTACCAAATGATTTTATATTGAGCAAGTTTCCTAGTCAAACTCTTCCTCAAGTATTTTTATTCTTGCTAATTTTTCCCTATCAAATCCAATGTTACTGATTTCTGGATACCTCAATTGGAGGCCAAATCGTAGACAGGTATAAAAATGGTACTAAGCTATATTTGGAGTTGATTCTAATGAATTCACAATTATTATTTGTTGAATTCTTGCTAAGATATGGTCCTTGTCCTTAGAGTCCTTAGAATTATATATGACTTAGTAAGAGAGATCATATAAGGGTCTTAAAATAGTACAGATATCATTTTTATGGGCGACCAGAGAAAAGAACGTGCTTCTAGATGGAGGATGCAAGGAGGGCTATGTAACACAGCACAGGAAAAGATCCTATGTTATTTCAGATTTTGTTTCAGACATACTATTAATCCAAAATCATGTTCTTGGAATCTAGTCTATAAAAGGGATTATGAGTTACATGCACAAACTTATTTTTCAAATGCTTTCCTCCCAGCAACCCGGCCTCCTGGTATATGCCACCTAAATGAATTTCAGTGCCAAGCAGATGGTGCCTGCATCCCAGACAGCTGGGAGTGTGATGGGCATCCAGACTGTATCCATGGATCTGATGAGCACCAGGGCTGCCTCCCCAAGACCTGCCCTTCATCTCATTTCCTCTGCGACAATGGAAACTGTATCTACAAAGTGTGGCTCTGCGATGGGGACAATGACTGCAGGGATATGAGTGATGAGAAGGACTGCCCTACTCAGGCCTTCCATTGTCCCAGTGGGCAATGGCAGTGCCCTGGCCATAGCATCTGTGTGCATCTGAGCGCAGTGTGTGATTCTGTCCCTGACTGCCCCGGTGGGGCAGACGAGTCCCCAGTCTGCAGTAAGTTTCTTGACAACAGTTTACTGGCCATAAATTCATTCTGAGTGGTAGCCTGGTAAGTGCCACCATTGTCCGAGTCACCATGTAGCTTTTTAGGAAGAAATTTCAGTTCGAGTTGAGATCCATGTAAGTTAACTCTAATGAAATTTGAATAAATCATCACCAGATCATATTTCTCATTAAATTCTTTGCACTTGGTTATGTGTTCTTACTTGTTTCTATGCCATTGATTAGAAAAATGAGACTAAACAATGCCATTAGATTGATTACTGGTTGTAATTTGTATATTTTTCTAACTTTAATATTTTCTAATTTCAATAAGAACTTTCCACAGAACCAATGAATTCTGGGGGTTTTTGTTTGCTGTGATTGCAAATGCTGTGATTGGCACATAATCCTAATGACTGTCCTTTCTCTCTTTCCTCTTTAATCAATGCCCATTCTCAGATGAACCACAGCCAGGTATGATTGTAAAGCATTTGATTCTTAAGATTTTATTTGTTTTGTGTTTGTGCAGAATATGTCCTACTTATCTTGACTTACCTCCCATTCTAGTGCATGTCCTGTATCATGACTTATACATGGAAATAGAGGGCATTTGTATCTCCAGGAATATGAACTCTCTTTAGGTGATTTTTTTTGCCATTTTGGCGCTGAAAGTAAGGAGTGATGGTATATTAGTGAATCTGTGCCCTCTAATGTTCCAGTTAACCTTTCCCCTTCCATTGATCTTCTAGTTCTTTCTCTTAAATGTCTAAGCCCCATATAGGTAGAAGAATGACAGAGAAAGCAACTGGGAAGCAATTAAAGTTTATTTGCATGCTTTATCAATAATAATTGTGTTTCTTGATGTCAAAAATTCCCCTCCAAGGTTATGTCATTGCGTTAAAAAGAGCTATAAGAGAGGGTTGTGGTGCCGAAGGTAGCCTAAGTCCAGTAGATCTGAAGGATAGTGAATTCTCAGGCAAATCAGAGCAGACACTGAAAAGCCTGTGGAGTCCCTCCAAGTGAATGCTGCTCTTACCTCTTATCATGGCCTCACATTAAAGGAGGCATGAAACTGTATGCAAATATTACCTCAGAATGAATCAAAGATGCAAAGATTCTTGACTTTTCCGCTTTGTGATTCTCTTTCTTATCTAGACCAGGAGAGCTGCTCAGAGAACAATGCTGGTTGTACTCATGAATGTATTCAAGGGCCATTTGGGGCTCAGTGCCTGTGTCCATCAGGATTCCTGCTGGCAAATGATTCTAAGACCTGTGAGGACGTCAATGAATGTGATTTTCCAGGCTTTTGTAGCCAGCACTGTCACAATATGAGAGGTTCTTACCGGTGCTGGTGTGATACAGGCTACATGTTAGAAGGTGATGGGAGGTCGTGCAGAGCTCAAGGTAATAACTGAACTTGAAAGGGAACTAACTAGTCAATTCAACAGCACATCCCAGAACTTAAGATCGTATGTCACATGAAGGCATTTGACAATGTTGATTAGGTGTTAGATAGACTGGACTCTTGTTGGACAGTTTATATAACCTTCCTAAGCCTCAATTTTTTACATCTTCTTATAGGATTCATAGTCTTAAACTATGGTTTATTTAAATTGCAGAACAAACTGTTTCATTGGAATTTCTCTAGGAGAAGTATCTTTGTTGTTGCAAGGCTGAAACAATATAGCATGTATACAATTGTTTTTATATTATTTTCTTTTTAATTTAAGGTTTTTATTGTGGATTGAGTGAAAGTTTACAGGGCACACCATCAGTTTCACATTCAACAATTCATACAACTTGTTTCATTACATTGAATATGATCCTCTCCATATACCATCAGTTAAAAGTATTTCTCTTTATCCATTTTAGCTTTTTTTAAAAAACACACAAACAAAAAAACCCACTCAGGCAGGAGCCAGACTTGCAGAATGTGCCCTTTGGAGATATAATTTATTATATATATTACTTCTTTATATAACACATTTGCCAATTCAAAATTTTTTCAGGTGTACAGTTTAATAATATCAATGATACCAGTCAATTTGTGGAGTCCTGGTGTGGTGCTGTAGGATAAGCAATGTCGGCAAGCCCACCAGTCGCTCCTTGGAAACCCTATACAGGATTGCTATGAGCCAGTACTGACTTGTATAACAAACACCTTTTCCATATCACCATGAACAAATACTTCCTGCATTATATTTAATGAATTCAATTAATTATATTTAATGAATTCAATTAATTGCTACTATACACATATATGCAAATGATTAAACTGTGCATTAGGATATTGACTTAGCTGCTTTAAGATGAGCAACTAAAGAGATCTGAAGTTGGTTTCTTTTACAAGTAGCAGTCGGGGAATAGAGCTCGTCTGTTACCCTTACCATGTGGTTCCTTCTAGAGATCCAACACTATAGCTACACTCTTTGTCCTCTCTCAGAAAGAGAAAGTAGGGTCTGACATTAACATTCTGCTCACATGCCATTGGTCTGAACTCAGTCATGTGATGACTCCAACCTACAAGAAGAGACAGAAGTATCTTTACCTGGCTGGCCATATCCCCAGCTGTTGGTTAGGCATTGGGCAGCAAGGTTGGTGGTTCAAACCCATCAGTGACTGCAGAGTAAGAGGTTGTCTACCACTGGGAATAGACTCAATGGCAGTGGATTACTACTAGTAAGAAGAATAAGAGAAAGTATTCTGAGAGAGAGACTAGTCTCTGTCATAGCTGAGTGCCCATGGGAAAACAAAAACATTTAAGATGTGTTTGTTGCTATCAAGAGACCTACAATCTAATCTGGTAAGGGAGATAAGAGCAAAATGGAGCATTGCATATATAGTCAAATACAAATATATTTTACTCTACATTGGTGTTTAGTGTAATTGAAGGAAGATTAGGAAAGGGCATATTTTGAATACTCATGAAAGAAAATTTGTAACAATATTCTCATAGGAGCTAGAGTTTTTTTTCTCTCCCATAACTGTGTTAATATATCTTACTTTTGCTATCAGAAATATTATATCAAATATTTAAGATACTTTAATTGTCTTTTAATCCAAAATCATTGCCGGTTTTGCATTTTCTTCTTCGACAGCACCTAACAGTCTACTGTTACTGGTGGCAAGTCAAAACCAAATTGTTGCTGACAATATCACCACGCAGATCCACAGTATCTCTTCACTTGTCCGAAATGGGTCTCACATTGTGGCTATTGATTTTGATTCAGTCAGTGGTCGTATATTTTGGTCTGATGTCTCTCAGGACAAAATCTGGAGTGCCTTTCAAAATGGAACAGACAGAAGAGTAGTAAGTACTTCTTTCATCTTGTTCTATTGGCTTTATTTAATTTGCTATAATTCACTAGTAAGAGAGACCCTACTTTCTGGATAGCTCTCATGTTCTCTGAATATCATCCTCCCGAGGCTGGATGTTCATAGCTGTGGGTGTCTTGGGGAACAGTATGGTTGCTGATGCTGAAACTTCACAGTGTCTCTGCAAACATTTCTAGTAGATGAGAAGAAAAGAAAGCTCAGAGGAGTGTAAGTTAGTTATGTTTCTCAACCCACATTGTAAAGTTGACTCTTGATGGTGGTCAGATACAGTTTTTCCTTAATTTCAGAAGCTTAATTTTAAGATAAAAATGAAAGTACATACGAATCTAGAAAGTATCTAAAAGTTATCACAAGATTATTCAATTCTATAAAATCTTGGCATATTTTTCACAGAAAATATTGTTGGCATGCTGATTTGATAGCTAATCCAGTGCCCTTTTCTAGATTTTCCTGTAACTTCTGTGTTTGCTCACTGTATTTACTCTTATCTTTAGGTACTTGACAGTGGTATCACCGTGACTGAAAGTATTGCAGTAGACTGGGTGGGTCGCAATTTATACTGGACAGACTATGCTCTGGAAACAATCGAAGTTTCTAAAATAGACGGGAGCCACAGGACTGTGCTCATCAGTGAAAATGTAACAAACCCAAGAGGACTAGCATTAGATCCCAGAAGGAAGTAAGACATTTTGTTTTGTTTTGTTTTGCTTTAAAATGCTTCCTTGACTTGAGCCGTCAGGTGTGGCGCTGTAGATTAAGCACTGGACTGGTAACCGCAAGGCCGGCAGTTGAAACCCACCAGCCGCTCCTTGGAAATGCGATACACGTTGCTATGAATCGGAATTGACTCAACAGCAACAGGGTAGACGAATAAGTCAGGGTAGAAAAACCAAGGCAGATGGCGTTTTTCTAAATCAACAGTCTGTGGATTGTATACACTCTTGAATTGTGTGTTTTAGGAACATTATTAATACACCTAGATGGCTAGTGATTGGATTATGATTGCAGTTTTACTTTGTGACACTCAGATATTCTGAACTAAAGATGACCATTAAGTATGATGTTCTTTTGTTTTGAATGATAGTCATTTTCGTACTGAAACATGTTTCCTATGATAAGTAACAAGTTTCTTTTTACAGTGACCATCTATTGTTCTGGTCTGACTGGGGCCATCACCCTCGTATTGAGCGAGCCAGCATGGATGGCAGTATGCGTACTATCATTGTCCAGGACAAGATCTTCTGGCCCAATGGCTTAACTATCGACTATCCCAACAGACTGATCTATTTCATGGATGCCTATCTTGATTACATAGACTTTTGTGATTACAATGGGAATCATCGGAGTCAGGTGATAGCCAGTGATTTGGTAAGTTGGTAGTGAGAAAAACTGAAATTACAGTAGTGGTTCCTATAGAAACAGATCCAAGAAAACATTGTCTATGTAAGAAATTAATCTAACAGTCATTACCAGGTTGATCCAATGAGAGACAATCCATCCTGTATTATTAACAGTAATAATAGTTCATGGTTAGATCGTAACTTGTCCAGAAAGGACTCATGCTCTTGTGATTTTGCTGGTTTGTTGCTATCTTTCAAAATTATGTTAATCTAAAAATAAATAATTCAGCTACATTTAAAATTTTCAGTTAACTCATAGCCTGCCATGTACTAAGGGGCTTCATAAAGTATGTGGAAAAATTCCATTTTCTCTTACTTGCATTTTTCTATGGACATGTTTTTGTATTCTGTTATGGGACTAGGTGAGTTTTCATTGTTCTTTTGTGCCTCACAGATTCTGCGGCATCCCCATGCCATAACTCTTTTTGAAGATTCTGTGTACTGGACTGACCGTTACTCTCATCGAGTTATACAAGCCAACAAGTGGAATGGGAGGAACCAGTCAGTCATAATTTATAACATTCACCAGCCCCTTGGAATTGCTGCAGTTCATCCTGTAAAACAACCGCCTAGTAAGGATACAGAAAGACATCTTTCCTTCAGTAGCTTGAAGAATACCAATGTACCCTGTTGTTGCAGACCATTTTGTTTGAGAATAGCTTTTCTTTTCTTCTTTAATGAATACCCCACTCCACAATTTCCCATTCCTAACATTTACATTACTTATATTTTCCATGGAAAATCGAACTTGATGTCAAAACAACATATTGAGATGGAGTAATTTATAGAGTGATTTAATCAGTTTCCTCTTTGACCTTGCTCTGAGACTGTTTCCTCAACGGATGACTGAGAGCATAGATCATATAGTCTTTCAGATCCTCTACCAGTTTATGTATTACAGCACTATTGTCCTAGAGGTGCTCTACTCTGCCCATTATCATAGGGTATGAAGTGACTAGGTGATTGAAAATTTTGGCCTTCCTAGTATTCTTTCTTAGTGAGAAAGAAATAACACATTTAGTTTTCACCTAATCGTCTCTCCTTGAAATCTGACCACTCTGACCTCTTAGCCTCTTCTCACCATATCAGATTTAATTATGTTTTAGGAACTAGTATATTTTCCAGATGTGAACATTTGTACTAACTCTACCTGCTGCTGGGAATTTTCCTCCTCTAGATCTCTGCATGAGTTGTTCCTTCATATCACTTAGGATTCTGCCCAGGTGTCACTTTAACATGTTAGAGAGGTGCTTTTGACCATCATAGCTAAAATAGCTGCTCTCCCTTTCATAATTCTTTTGCTCTTTTTCATCACGTTCTGAAGTCATACACATACACACACACAATCCATTTGCTACAAGGTGCTTCATGTTCACAGTGTCACTAGTACTTAGAATGGTATCTGGTGACCAGTTAATGTTAAGTGAATGCTTAACATTTGCTTAGTGAATGGCTGAAGCAATTTAATAAAATCTATGTAAGAAGAATATTTAGCATCTAGAGCACATCCTATGAGCTTGGACCCCCTTATATTTTTTCAAGGAACAGAGACACAAAGATACCATCAGTAGGGAATAAAGGATTGTTATCTAACCAAATGTTGGACAAGAGTAGGTAAATGTCAAAGCTATTTAGCAAACACATAACTTGGTTTCATTTAATGCAAAAGGAAATTGATCTTTTAGGTCAGCCAAGGAGACATATTTCTGCTGTTTGTTCATAATCTGTAACTTTGGGCAAGTAACTTTTCCCTCTTAAGAGTTTTATGTTGAAAAATGACCCTAGGGAAGAGTAAAGTAGTTGTGTTTGATACTTGTGTTTCCAAGTATTGGGGGGAGGGCAATAACATCATAACTCTTGTTGTTTTCGATTCACCAAGACTTTTCTCTTTTTTGCAGGTGAAAACCCATGTGCCTTTGCCCCTTGCAGCCATCTATGTCTGCTTTCCTCTCAGGGGCCAAATTTTCACTCCTGTGCTTGTCCTTCACAATGGGTTCTTTCTCATGATTCTGTGAATTGCTTGAGAGGTACAGTATTCCGAACAAACAGCCTGCCCCCTAGTGTTTATGTCAGTTGTAAAATACTTGCTTATGATGCTGCGGGTTAATGCGCTGGACTGCAAGATCAATTTGAATTGTAAGGTTGGTGGTTCAAGCTCACCAGCTGCTCTTCAGAAACCCTGTGTGGGGTCACTATGAGTTGTAACTAACTCGATGGCCCTTAGTAACAACAACAATGTTAATGTGTGCATGTGATTGAACAATATTTCATTTTGTATTTACCCACACTTGGCTACAGTTAGATTTTTCTGACAAGCTATGATAATGTGACGTTCTTAAGAAGTGTGACTTTAGTGTAAGGTTTCATTTCTTCAGACCTATTAGCTTATATTATTATTTTCATAACCATTGTCAGTGGTGAGTATTCTAACACAGGTCTTCTGACTCTAACTTCAGTATTGCTATCAGATACTTCAGAAATGTTCTTATTTGAATAATTTATCTTTATTTTATCCTAGAGATATTTACTTGGTCAATTAAAAAATATGTAGAAAATTACTCTAAATATAGTAGCAAAGGAAAGAAAAGACATACTCAATCCACAAGAGTTTTCTCCTGGAGTATGTACTGGACGTGTTATTGTTAGGTTCTGTCCAGTCAGTTCCAACTCATAGTGACCCTATGTATGACAGAACAAAACACCTGCGCCATCCCTGCAATGGTTTGAAACAATTGTTGCAGCCACATTGTCCATTTCCTTGAGGGTACACTTGTTTTTCACTGACCCTCTGTTTTCCAAAGCATGATGTCTTTCTCCGGTGACTGGTTCCTTCTGTTAATTTGTCCAAAGTATGTCAGAAGAAGTCTCACCATACTCGCTTCTAAGGAACATTCCAGCTGTACTTCTTCTTTAAAGACAGATTTATTAATTGTTTTGGCAGTCCCATGGTATATTCAACACCAGCCATAAATCAAAGGCATCAGTCTTCCTTATTCATTGTCTAGCTTGCAGTAGATGTACCTTAGTCCCCAAAGTGACTCATTTGCTTCTTAAGAGTTTTGTGTTTTTTTTTCTGCAGATTTGCCAAATGTAGTATGTTGTTTGATTTCTTTAACTGCTGTTTCTGTGGGCATTGATTGTGGATCCAAGTAAAATGAAATCCTTGACAACTTCAGTTATGAGCATTTTTGGTTTCTTGATGTTGAAGGGTAATTCATACGGAAGGTTGTAGTGCTTCAAGTCCTCATAGCTTTCAGCAAGCAAGGTTGTTTTATCTGCATATTGCAGCCTGTTAATGAGACTTCTCCAATCTTGATGCTGTTTTCTTCTTCTTCTAGAACAGCTTCTTGGATTATTGCTTTGCATGCATATTAAATTTGCACCATGAAAGAATACAATCCTGACACATGTCTTTCCTGATTTTAAACTTTGTAGCATCCTCTTGTTCTGAACTACTGCTGCCCTTTGGTCTATAAACTGGTTCTGCATGATCACAATTTTTTAAGTTCATCAGCCACTCTGCAGGAGAAAATGGAAATCCTATATAGGGTTATTATGAGTCAGAACTGACTTGATGGCGCTTAACAACAAGTCAGTTCTGGTGTTCTCTGCTTTCGACAAATAACCATCTGACATTAGCAATGATATCCCTTTTTCCATGTCCTATTCTGAATCTTCAAATTCCCGGCAGTTCCCTGTACTTCTACAACTGAGTTTTGAATTATCCTCAGCAAAATTTTACTTGTGTGTGATATTAATGATACATTCTATTGAGCATCCCATCTTTGGAATAGACATACATATGGATATCTTCCAGTTGGTTCGTCAGATAGTCTTCCAGATTTCTTGGCATAGATGAGTACTTTCAGTGTTGCATCTGTTTGGTGAAACATCTCAATTTGTGTTCTGTCAGTTCTAGAACTTTGTTTTTCACCAATGCCTTCAGTGCAGCTTGGACTGGTTCTTGATCAAATGCTACGTGTTGAAAATGGTTGAACATCAATTACTTTTAGTACAGTGACTCTGTATATATATTCCTATATCACTCAGAATTTTGCAACACAAAGATTTAATATTCTCTTATGTCATTTAATTTGAGAGATGTCAAATGCATTCTTTCCTTTTGGTGGTTTAACACCATTATAAACTTTTTATTTTGTCTTCTCAAAGTTCCCTTTGAAATCTTCTGCTTAGCTTTTTACTTCATTTCTTCCAGTTGCTGTAGCTGTTTTATTTTAAAGACCAAGTTTCACAGTCTCTTCTGACATCCATTTTGTTCATTTTTTTCTTCATTTTTTAAAAATGACCTTTGCTTTTCGTGTTCTTTTCAAAAAAACTTTTAAAAAAACCCAAACATTTATTATTAATTGAGTGAAGGTTTACAGAGCAGATCATCAGCTTTCTATTCAACAAATCATATACTTTGCTTCCTTACATGGTTGCAATCCCCTCCATATACCAACAGGTGTTTTATATAATATATATAAAACATATGAAACAGTTGATATATATATAACAATTTGGTTAACCTTTGGTCATTAGTGTTGACTGAATCAAATTTATTCTTGAGGTGGTCTTTCAGATCAGGTGGGATATACTCAAGTTTGTACTTTGGCTTTTCTTCAAGTTTAACTTGCATATAAGCAATGGATGGTTCATTCTGCAGTCGATTCCTGGCTGATGTGAACTCTGACTGATGATGTTGAAATTCTCCATCTCTTTCTAGAGATGTAGTTGATTTGATTCCCATATATTTCATCTGACAAGGTCCACTTGTGTTGTCACCTTTTGTTATTGTTAAAAACATATTTCTAATGAATACGTTGTTGGCTTTGCAACATTCTTTCACGTGATCTTTAGCATGGTTTCTGTTACCAGGTGCATATTTTTAAACTACCGCTCTTTCTGTGTTGCATTCCAATCACCAGTAGGTATCAGTGTATCTTGATTGTGTGTTTGATCAATATCAGACTGCAGAACTTGGTAAAAATCTTCAATTAAAAAAATGTTGCCATTTGTGTTTGAAGCAAAATAAACTGTTTAAAAGTCATTCTCCATTGCTTTAAACTTCTCAGTAAGAAGAGTGGTTGTGTTTTTATGCTGATAAAAATGGCTGTTGTTGTTGTTCAGTACCCTGGAGTCAGTTCCGACTCATAGTGGCCCTGCACAGGGGTTCCGAGGCTGTAAATCTTTACGGGAGCAGAAAGCCTCATCTTTCTCCCACAGAACAGCTGGTAGTTTCGAACTGCCGACCTTGAGGTTAACAGCCTGATTTGTAAAGTATAAATTAAATTTTTAAGAGTCAACAGTCTTAAACTAGAAATTAATTTTCAAATGGACATGTGGATATGCTGAATTTAGGAAATTAATATTGCTGATATATTATACAGATGTAGACTTACTGAAAGCCAAATCCTGTCATCATGTGATATTATGGATGATACTTCCATGATGAAAGATTTTTAATTATTGGTAATGCTTACAAAGACATAGGCATTTTTCTTCAGAGACTTAATAATTTAGCTAATCCTTGTTGACACTGTTTAATTTAGTGTGTCTTCAGACTCTTTCAGCGCAAGATTAAAATGGAGTATAGACATTTTGGGCACAAACATTCTTTCACCATGGAAATATTATTGAACCGTGCATTGGGGATTGGTGTAATCGATATTACTAATCTGACAGTTATTGATGAGTGTTATTTCTAGATTGTTCCTTTTGTTGTCTTACAAATAACAGTTCTAGTGTTTTTCCTATGGGCTGACTTGACCAAAGTGGCTGACTTGACCAAACCCAATTGGTTTCTGAGTACTAGTTAAATGTCTAAATTCTAATATATGTTAACTAAAGAAAAGTTGAATTCTTTTTTTTTGTTTTCAAGAAGCAGCTTATAAGATTTGCTTATATTAATAGATTAAATTATTTTACTTCAGATTAATGCTGCTAGCTATTTAAGTAGCTTTTGATATTCTGTGTGGTAGCATGTGCAGTTACAGTTGGTTACAGTTGGGTAGGTAAATTTTTTGAGCATTTCTAGCACCCTCCCCCCACTTTTCTGCTGTAAAATTTCTCTATATGAAACATTTTATTCTCTAAAATATATTGATGCAAATTGAAACCCAATGACCCTGTAGTAAATAACTTCAAATCCAAACTATCCTTCTGATGTAGTCTGAGGACCCACAGGATTTACTTGGGGAAATAAAAACAACCACACAAAAGCACTTCTTTCTCATACCCGGGGAAAAGGGTCAGTACTATGAAATGCCCCTTTAGCATTATTCTCCCTCCTCATCCCTATTTCTTTATCCCACCAGTCCCTGGTAATCTCTAATGAACTCTAGGTGAAACACCTGATCTGGATGTTTCATGTAAGTGAGTTTATACAATGTTTGTCCTTTTGCTCTGACACAGTGTTTTCAGGGTTTATGCTCGAGTCTGCCAGAGCATATTGTTGTTGTTAAGTGCCATCAAGTTGGCTCAGACCCATAGCGATCCTATATAGAGTTTCTGAAGAGCCAGCTGGTAAGCTTGAACCACCGACCTTGCAGTTCAAACGGCTTTGCAGTTGGTGCATTAACCCACAGAGCTACACCAACCAGCAGGACTTACTTTCCTTCCTGTTGCCTCTTGCAGTGTTACCTGCTGTCTCAAGTTATCACTTCCTTCCTAGTGTTCCTCTGGTTCAGCCTTCATCCAAGCTTTCACATTTTCAGCCAAGGTAGCATTAGATGATGTCCCTGCCACTGGTCAGTTTCCATACATGTTTGTTGGTGGCATGCCCTTCCCCTGCTGAGCCAACCCTAAGAATTAGGAAAGAGGCATAAACACAAGGACCTAGAACTGGATCATGTGTGAAGGAAGCATTTCCGAGGGAATTAGGGAAGTTCACGTTTAATGAATGAGCTATGCAAAGTTTGCAGGTCCTAAACAGTGCCTTGGATTATAATTACACTCATTATGCAAAAGGACAGTTATCTGTGTAAGACAGCGGTATCATGTTTGGAATGAAGAAAACATTTAAGGTCCCTTTTGTAATTGGGAAATGTATCTTGCTTCTCTGGAACCAATGAGAATTTATAATGTATAATCAATAAGTAATTAAATATTGTATCAGTATAATTTCAAGATGCAGCTGAAGCTAATAGAGCTTTCATTTTTTTTTCTTCTTATTACTGCAGTTAAATCAAATTAATTGAGTGGTAATTTGATATTCAATAAGTAGTGCCTGGCTTGCACATTTTTGCAGTGTTAGTGATTTACTAGTGATTTCATTAAAAGTTTTGGAGCCCAAGAGACCTGGTTTATCACTTTGGTTAAATTGTGTAATTTCTTTGAACCTCATTTGCAAGTTGGAGTTGATACTAACCATCTAACAGAATTATGAGTCTTAAAGGAGATATGTTTAGTGAAATAATGTTTGCTTGGTATATGCATAACATGTTTGTTTGACAGTATTCTCAATAAAGGAGACCTGGTGGCACAGCAGTTAAAGCCCTTGGCAGGTCATTAAAAGGTCAGTGTTTTGAACCCACCAGTTGCTCATTGGAGACTATTAGGTAGTTCTACGCTGTCCTATAGCGTAGTGGTTATGAATCGATCAGCGAACCGCAAGGTCAGCAGTTCGAAACTACCAGCTGTTCCATGGGAGAAAGATGAGGCTTTCTGCTCGTGTTAAGATTTACAGCCTTGGAAACCCTGTACAGGGTCGCTATGAGTTGGAACCGACTCCATAGCACACAGCCACGCTGTCCTATAGGGTCAGGATTGATTTGATGGGTTTTTATTCTCAATAAAAAGGAGTCCTGGTGGCAGGATGACTGTTTGGCTGCTAATCAAAAGGTTGCAGGTGAAATCCACCCATCTGCACTGTGGTAGAAAGACCTGAAAACCTCATAGAACTTCTATTATGCACGCATGGGCTGGCCTTGAGTTAGCGTCACCTCAACAACAAGTAATACCTAACCATAATTCTCAATAAAGAGCGTCATTTAGAAGAGAGCTACAAGTCTTGTTTTGCTTTCTGAATATGCCTAAAACTATTAAATTGTATTTTCTTTAATTTAAATTTTTTTTTTTAAACAAGACTCCTCTTTCCTGGAGTTATTCAATATTAGTGAGGTTTGTCTTCCTGACTATGAAGCTTGTCAAATATGGACGGTTTATCATGCAATTGAAGAATTACTGATATGCTGATATACCTTAGAAAAAGTCCAGAAAGCATTGTGTGTGTTGATGGAGGGTTATATATGGAAGACGCATGATTGTCTGATGACATATTATAGCACTATACTTATTGCTGTTAATGGGATTTTATTCTATATAATGGTAACAATCCATTGCCTTCATTTCTCTAAATGATGGAGAAGAGTGGAATATAATTTTGATGGATGTTCTGCTGTTTTCACAGATGAGAAACCTTTCTTAATAACTGTAAGGCAGCATGTAATTTTTGGGATCTCCCTTAATCCTGAGGAGAAGAGCAATGATGCTATGGTTCCCATAGCAGGGCTACAGAATGGTTATGATGTTGACTTTGATGACTCAGAGCAGTACGTCTATTGGATTGAGCATCCAGTAAGTTTGAAAAGCATTCAAAATCCATCATTTGTTTTCAAAGACACTGCCAGCACTGATGTGTTATTATAGGGAAACTTTTGTTGGTTGTATAAATGGGAAATGGTCTGGAAATAAATGAATTTACCATTCAGTGAGAGATGTAAATGTAAATTGTCCTGGAGCAAAGATTAGGATAATAAATTTAAGCTACTATTTATTTATTCAGCATGCATTTTTGTGAGTGCCTACTGATTGCTTTGCATTGTACTAGCTGCTTCAGCTGCAGAATACATGTTAAGAAGCAGTAACCACAAATAAGCTAGGATACTTAATCCTCACTTATGGACTGTCTCATATCTGATAGTTTGCACTTACAACTCTTTATGACATTCAGCAGTAATGATTGCTGAGGTTTTAGGCAAGACTAACTCCAGTCATGCTTCTCAGGGATTTGGCTGTTATGTAAGGGGTAATTTTGCAGTTGTATAATGATGCAGCCACCTTCCATTTTCTCATTATGCAGATTTTTGCATTATAGTCCTTGGGATGTAACCATGTTGATAAGTGAGGATTGGGTTTAGAGGATATTAAGACTGGTGTAGAAGTGACAATCACTCACCTTATGATAACTCACAATATTTGCTTCCACTCTGGGAGGATGGAGCAAGCAGAATACAAGTGAAGAAGCAATGGAAAATATTTTTGTATATTTGGCACCTCTACTTAAGATCTATCCCTGGCCTCCTCGCTCATTTGTGATGTGCAGCTTTATTTAGTTCTTTGTAATGGCTGTTAGGCCTGTGATAACTATGATGTCTCTGCAGCTAACTTCAGAGGTAGCCTGAATGGAAAGTCTTCTGTATTCTTGTGGCTCATTACTGGTATGAGTATTACGCAAAGTGAGCCTATCCAATGGCCTGCCTTTTCTTCAAGTGTGAGGAGTGCCAATACAGCTGTTGCCAGTAGCTCCAATGAGGATGCTGCTTTCATTCAGAAGTTGTGCCCATAAAAGGGCTTACCTTCTGCTTCCTTTCTTTCAAGGGTGAAATTCACAGAGTGAAGACAGATGGAACTAATAGGACAGTGTTTATCCCTGCATCTCTTGTGGGCTCTCCTACAAGTTTGGCCCTAGATTGGATATCAAGAAACCTTTATTATACCAATCCTGGAACACAGTCAATTGTGGTAAGGATTCCAAAATACTCTTTATACAAAATCCCGTGTCTTCTACTATCCCATTTTGTTTCCTCCTAAATCTATTTACTAGCATATTTTTTATAGGGAATTTGGCATAAAAGGAAGGTTATGGTAGGAGATCATTGTTTGCTATTTTTCCTCATCTAATCTTCAATGCATTTATGCTCTAAACCCAATTGATAGGTTAGTTTTGTTCTTAGATGCAAATCTTTCTATACGCCAATATAGTTTTTCTAACAGTGAAACAGAAAGTAGAAACTTGATTCTAATTCCTTTGATACTCACTTCTTTGTGATAAATGCTCTTTCTATTCTAATTGCCAGAAGAAATTCGAGATGGGGAGTAGGTATGAAATCACATGAGGTTATTCAGAGGTAACTTGACTAGTATTGGTTTAGTTTGCCCCATTCGGGAACAAGACTAATTAACATATATCTGTATAGTACATATACACCCACTTATGTTGTAGGATAAGCACTGGACTGTTAACTGTAAGGTTGGAGGTTCAAATCCAACAGTCACTCCTTGGAAATCCTGTACAGGGGCACTATGAGTCAGAACAACTCTAGGGCATACAACAGCATATTGTATTATATCTATGATATATAATATGTTAATTCATAATTTTGAGAATGGAAATCCCTATTTTGTGAGTGGGACAGTTAGCAGGGCATGCAGGAGTGATTTGCTGCTCTGGGTGGGGCACTAGCTGCTAGGTTGGTTGCTCTTTGGGGCATTCACAAAGATGGGGTGCACAACAGCTCACTGGCTACTTCAGAGCAGATTAGTAGTTCTGAAGATTAGGAGGAGCTCACAGTGGGACAGTGCTTCCACAAACGTCATCTTATTGAACCCTAGCAACATTGTCAAGGACAGGCAGGTATGACAACCCTTTACAATAGCAGGCCCCTTTGCAATATGCACAAGCCAGACTAGACTTGTTTAACCCTCTGTGACAGTGGCAGGAGTTGTTTTTTTAACAATCTCAGCAAAAAAAAATTACCATCCCCTAAAAATTAAATATAGTAACTAAACCCTTTAAATCCACACCCACATCTCTCTAGAGTCTTAAAACAAAGCTCCAAGTGACAACAAATTCTTATTCTCTCTTTTGGTCATTTGCTTTGTAAATGTGAATCTTCCCTTTTAGAGCAAAAATTTTCTAGAAGCAGCAGACAACGTCTTCTCCATTAGGATTCTGGGATCAATGAAAGGCAGGCAGAGAATCAACTGAATGTGTATATGTACAACTGTATATTGGGGAAGTCACTTTAACCATAAATGTTTAATATCTGTAATTGTACCCTTCTGCAGTATGGCACATAGGAAAAATTTGATATGGAGTCCAAAGATCTGGATTTGAGTCTGGCTCAGTCATTCATTGATTTAGTCAACAAGCATGTGGTGTTCCTTCATGTGAATAAAACTGCTGAGTAGGTCGAACATCTGAAAGGCAGACACATAAACAGTGTGTTAAGTATGATAATAGAAGTATATGCAGTGTATAAGGAGCTCTGGTAGCGTAGTGGTTACAAATCGGGCTGCGAAACTTAAGGTCAGCAGTTCGAAACTACCGGCTGCTCCGCGGGAGAAAGATGAGGCTTTCTACTCCCGTAAAGATTTACACCCTCAGAAACCCTGTACAGGGTTGCTATGGGTCGGAATCAACTCTACGGCACTTAACAACAACAACATAGTACTATGTGGTTGAGAATAGGGGTAAAAGTGAGGCGAGAGAGAGAGCAGGCTTCCCATAAGAGGTTACTTATGAGCTGAGTCAAGTATAGCAGTAAGGAAAATGCATCTCAAGTATGGAAGAACACTTGGAGAAAGACTCTCAGATACATTTTGTGACAGCACTGTATTTTTTCCACTAAACAAACCTGGACAAACTGCTTCAAATATCCACAAAAGCTTTAGGTGAATAATGACCCAAGGGTGAATTGTCCTTTTAGTGTTTTCACTGGTTTCTGCTTTAGTCAGTTAAAAAGTAGTTTTCATATAAACTGTGACTGTTCCTGGTGAATGTTAAATTATTTAGAACACAGGGATATGTTTCACTTACCTGTACATTAAGGTCTTCAACATAGTTGTTGTGTGCTCTGTCGAGTTGGTTCTGACTCATAGCAACCCTGTATAGGGAACCTGAGAGTGACTGGTGGGTTTGAACTACTGACCTTGTGGTTAGCAGTCCAGTGCTGACGCTACAGTATCACACCAGGACTCTCAAAGTAGCTGTTGTTGTTGTTGTTGTTGTTAATTGCCATGTAGTCGGTTTCGAGTCATAGTGACCCTGTATAGGATTTCCGAGAAGTATCTGGTGAGTTTGAACCACTGACCTTGCAGTTAAAAGTGGTCTAGTACTTTATCCTACAGCGCCACACCAGGACCAGTAATTCATATTTAATTTCAACCTGAAAATAAAAATTATTTTCCACTAGGGGTAGCTGTGTACCCATTCACTAAAAGAAATTGTGTGACCCGAAAAGAATGGCTGAGTGAGAGAGAGAGCTTAATATATTCCAGGAAACATGGAAAGGAACTTTGCTTGACTACAAGAGAAACTGTGGCAGAAAGAGTCTCATCAGGAAAGTTCACACAGGAGGAAAAGATAGAGGGAGAAAGGATGAGAGAGAAAGAGAAGTAGAAATACAAACATACATAAAAGAACAATTTTATAGAAAAACCTTACGGCACATTAACAGGCATTTTCTGACTCTCTTTATTTTCTGCTTAAATCTCAGACTGTCTGAGATGGAGAGCAGTATCCTTGTGACTATATGAAATCGATGAAAGAATATTGTTTCTAATCTAATAATTTGCATTTCTATGGGATTCCTGGTGTGGTGCAGCAAGGTCAGCAGTTCAGACTCATCAGCCACTCATGGGAAACCCTATACAGAGCCGCTCAGAGTCAGACCTAACTGAACTGGCACTTAGCAACAACAACAATGGGACATTGCAGGGCTCAGTTAACATTGTGATTAATGTAAAGGAATAGCAACCCAACATAGGCTTTCTAAAGGAGCTCTGGTAGCATAGTGGTTACGAATCGGGCTGCGAGCCACAAGGTCAGCAGTTCGAAACTACCAGCTGTTCCATAGGAGAAAGATGAGGCTTTCTGCTCCCATAAAGATTTATAGCCTCAGTAATCCTGTACAGGGTGGCTGTGAGTCGGAACTGACTCCAAGGCATATAACAACAACAATAGGCTTTCTAAGATTTCAAATCTTTGTGGGAGCAGAAAGCCTCATCTGGTGGGCTCAAACCTTTGACCTTGTGGCTCATAGTCCAGTGTTTATCATATGGAGACACTGTGCTTCTATAGCAATAATCATTAAAAATAGATAATGTTGAGAAAATACTACGCAGCAGGCATTTTACTTGGCATTATTGTAATTAACAGCACAGTGATTCTGAGGTGCCTATATTCCATATGACAAATCATTTTCCAGGTCTTGTTTGCTTCCTGCCTTTGTCAGGGTTCAGTTGTATCACTTTTCTATTGCTCACTATTAGTGGTGCCGACTTTTACAGGTCTTATGGTCGTATTCTGTGTGGTTACAGTCCTGTGAGTTCTGTGTGGAAGGTAGCATTACCTTGTATCAGATCATAGTTTGGACCTGGCAGGTCAGGGGTTTTACCTCAGGTCATTGACTTGGGACAACATGAATATTAACTCTAAATGAACTCAGACTGTTTCGACCAACTGTGTTTTCAGTGACGTGATGCCTCGACCCAGTCATCAGGGTGGCAGGAGCGCTGTGGAATTCTCATTTCTCTTTCAGGGTTTTCTCTTAGCTTATTCTTACAATGTGTTTGTAATTTTTCTGTGTGTTTTACCCATTTTACTCTGTCTCTTATTCATATCAGTTTCCTCTCTGGAAGTTTTAGGTGAATTGAAAGTAGGAATTTGGGTGGTGATTTTGCTTTCTATTATCGTCTTCCTCCTAGCCCTAAAATACATTCATCCTTAATAGTGCCTTGAAATTTGTTATGTATATATGGTCCCCTTCACTTCACTCAACTTTCCTTAGCTCTCATGCTATTAAACTCAACTCTAATAAGTGATTTTATGCCATAGGTTGTAACACTCCGGGGAGATCACAGATACAGAAAAACACTGATCACCAATGATGGGACAGCTACTGGAGTTGGCCTTCCACTTGGCATCGCTGTGGATCCTGCTCATGGGTGAGTGTTCATGAATAGTGAACGTCTTCTTGGTAGCACCGTTCTTATTAATGTCTTGGTCTGATACAATGGGAGATTTTAAACTTAGGACATTTTCTGACTTCGTATGGCAACATTTGCAAACTATAGATCTTATTGAGAAAGAGAAATAGTTCGGTGTGTTATTCTTGTGTTCTTTAAATTATAACACTAGACTTAAAATTAATTCCAAACAAGCCAGAATTTAAACATCGATCATGAAAATGAACATTGCAGTCTAAATTTGAAGGTAGGGAGTATGTGAAATCGCCCTTGAAGGATGAGAAGACTTCCAGTAGGCGATAAATGGGTTGCAACCAGAGAGTGATATTCAAGGCCGATGAGGAGCAAAGGCATAGAAGCATGGCAGTATTTAGTGTGATTGTGTAGAACCTTAGAACCAGAGGCAGGTCGACCAGATAGGAGATAAAAACTCAAGGCATTTGGGAAAGACTTGATGGATTTGGACATTATTCTTTTGGGTAATAGGAGCCAAGAGAATTAGGAGGAATAGATTGTATTTCGGCAAGATTGATTCCTGGAGAGAAGCCAGGGAGACAAGGTGGGAGAAAATAGTTTCAATGGATAAAGACTAATCTGCTTGACTAGCTAAATATTACATTGATCTACTGTATTGTATTGTGGTGGTAGTGGTTATGTGCTGTGGAGTCGGTTCTGACCCATAGCAACCCTGTACAGGGTTTCTGAGGCTGTAAATCTTTATGAGAGCAGAAAGCCTCATCTTTCTTGCGCAGAACAGCTGGTAGTTTTGAACTACTGACCTTGCGGTTCGCAGCCTGATTCATAACCACTACGCTACCAAAATAACAGATTGTAAAATACCAGCATTGATTTATTGATTTTTTTTTTTTTTTTAAAGAGATAGTCATCTCTTTCAAGGGGCAGATTCTTAGGCCTGGAAAGTATCTGAAACAATTTGTTTATTTCTCTGCTTTATAAGAATGCCATACAAACCAAACCTTATTTTTAAAGGTCAGAAAAAGCAACCATTCCATTCTTACATATGCTAGTTTTGTCCTAGTTCTACAAGCAAGAACATCTTAGATTTAAGGCCTGAAGGTTCATCATTATTCAGTTTTTCATTCATCAAGCATTGATTAATTATGTATCTTTTTTTGTGTGGTATATTAGTTAGGATAATGGTGCAAAGATAATAGAAGCTTATTTGCCTATCACTTGGGAAGTGGAATTTGTGTGGAAGCTGCACTGCACACAAATGTGTGTTCAGGGAGCCAGGCTGGTGGAGGCTCTGCCATCTTTAATAATAGGAGATTTTCAAGGTCATCATGGGAGTCAATAGAGCAAAAGAGTGAGTAGATAGGAATGTGCTAGGAGGCTTTTATGGACTAAGACTGTAGGTAATGCACACCACTTTTGCTCATATTCTTGCAATTAGAGTTTAGTTACAGCTAACTGAAGTAAAACAGGAAATGGAGCCCAGCTATTTACCAAGAAAGAAGAAGAAGACATAGAAGAAGAAGGGAGGAAAACTGTCTCTACCAGGCCATCAGGGTGCCAAGATTGGGGGTGTTAGTGGTGGAGGGAATAGTTATAAAGACGATTAAAGAGATAATTTACAACCTCAAGAATTGATACCTTAATAAGGAGGATAAACTGGGCCCTGGTGGTACAGTGGTTAAAGCATTGGCCCATTAACTAAAAGGCTGGTGGTTCTAACCTTCCAACCATTTTGTGGAAGAAATGTGAGGCAGTCTGCTTCTGTACAGACTTAACAGCTTTGGAAAACCCAATGGGACAGTTCTACTCTGAAAATGTCTTGACTTTGTCCAGTCAACTTTTGGCAACCTGGAATACATGAGGAGAAACCAAGTAATGTTTTTGTCTTGCTTTGGTGCAGGAATTTAGGGTTAGGAATTTGCAAAGTGGACACATGAGAATATAATTCAAATGGTTGATTTTTGCAATCCAGGTGTGGCGTCACTGGAGGTTTGGGAGCTTAGGCAGGGCTTAACAGCAAAGAACAGTTCCAGAATGAGAAAAATAGAGAAGAGTTAAGTTTAGTCAAAGCAGAGAATTTGAGAACTTAAAATTGGATTGATGGTAGAAGAGGTGTGTGAAAAAAATGATTAGAACTGAAGTGTCTGAGGACTCCTTAGACAAGAATGTAAGAGGATCATCATTGTGGCTGTTCAATCACTGAGGCTAGAAGAAAGGCAATAAAATTTGGGTTCAAGAGTATGTCCTTGGTAGAAATGGAAGCAGCTGCATCCATTATTAAGTGCTGTTGAGTTGGTTCCTTCTTATTAGAGTTTTCGTTGTGTCACAACCAAAGAAAAGAAGTTATATGCCTGCTGACACAAGATGCTGATGGGATTCCACTTTCTCAGAAAAGTGCTTCTCTTTTCTTCAGTGCTCTTTGTTAAATTTTTGTGCATCTTTCAACACAGAAGTCAGATTAGGTAAGAAAATGACTGGTCTTGTGGTATAGGTGGGTATTTGGACAAGAATTAAATAAGAAGCCTGATAGGTCATCAGGGAACTAACTGATAGCTTTTTATATTAGTTTTGTAGGTAGTATGTGATTGAAAGGAAGAGATGGATTATTGAAAAAGATCCTTCCAACCAATGGAACAGACTAGCTTCAGGATTGCAACACCATTTTAAATGGAGTCCTGATGTGGTGCTGTAGGGTAAACACTTGACTGCTAACCATAGATCAGGGGTTCAAACCCACCAGCTGCTCCTTGAAAATCCTATACATGGTTTGCTATGAGTCAAAACTTACTGGACAGCACTTAACAAAGACAGCACCACAATAATACCTAGGAAAATATATAGAAATTGCTAGGCACTGGTTAACCATCCTTCTACAACTGTGTGCAACAAGATATTTAGATTCTCACTTCTTTCATTGAATTGTGAGCATTTGAGGATACACACTATAGATAGTTCACACCAATTCTCCTTCTATTTCATTTAACTCTAGTGTGTTTCATGGTTGTAGGAAATTGTACTGGTCCGACCAAGGAACGGACAGTGGCGTTCCTGCCAAAATTGCAAGTGCTAACATGGATGGCACATTTTCAAAAGTCCTTTTTACTGGAAACCTTGACCACCTGGAGTTCATCACTCTGGACATCAAAGAACAGAAGCTCTACTGGGCAGTCACCAGCACGGGAGTGGTATGAACACCCTTCCTTTACTGCTAAACTTGCAGATACCGAACAAGTTACTTGATATCGATGTTTTATTGCCCTGTTTCATTTCTTTAGCTTGTCCCTTTAGAGCCATTTTTTCCATTTTCTAGTGATTTAAATGCCTTTCTTTGAGAGTTCTCTGTGTTCCCTCGTCAAGTACACTCTATCTAATGCCCCCTTATATGGTTGACACACATGTGAAAACTCCTATTGCTTGCAATTTTAAATTCCAAGGTTGAGTTTATTATGCTCTGTAATAAGAAGCAGAAGCTACATAATTCCATTTATTTACTGAAATGTTTGACCTTCACTGCTGTGCTCATGCGGGTATGCTTAATGCTAGGCACATCATCCATTATTTGTCCTTGGAAGGGGGGATAACAAGAGAAAGCCCATGATCTATATGGAAGTACTTTGCAGTCAGCATTCGTGCAATGATGAGCAAGCTGTCACAGGATCCTGTGTACAGAACATGCTGTGGATGCTGTACACATCCCTCCCCTCCTTGAATCTATGGTGGGACTGTCCATCTGTTCCCCTGGATTACTACACTGATACTTCTGCCCCACTCCTCATTTAATAATTTCAAATTCCTGTCAGTGTGTCCTCAGCTGCTTCTCTCAGGTCTAACCTTACTCTGCTGCTTCCATCATCCTAAACGTCTTCTCCCCAGCCTTGATGAGGCTCTGACCCTCATTCTTGAACCCTTCTTTTAGGTTAGAGACATGCCATCTTCATAAAACCACAACAGAGACTCAGTGTTTGATCACTGCTCAGCTCAGAACCCTGGTCTAGGGTTCTGACTCTTCAGATTAGGTCCCTTAATCTGGACCTAGTCATCCCTTTACAATTCCCATCTCTATCTGCTGTCCTTCAGTCTTGCTATCTTCTGCTATTATACTAGGCAAATATAATCAGAAGCCATTGGTTAAGATGTTACCCTTTCATGACTGAATTATTTTCTGCTTTGAATTATTTTGTTGATTCCAAGTATCTTCAGTAATGGAAGGCATTTTTATTTGCAGTCATATAGATTTTGATAAAACTGATACAGAGTCCATATATTCTAAATAGACTCTGGTGAAATGATTGGTGTGATGAGGCCTGTTTCTTTAAAGTTATGGAGTTATACGTGTCACTACCATGGAGCTTTGGTAGTGTAGTGGTTACAAGCTGGGCTGCTACCTTTAGTAGTTTGAATCTACCAGCTGCTCTGTGGGAAAAAGACAGGACTTTCTGTTCCTGTGAAGATTTACAGGCTCAGTAACCCTTTTCAGGGTCACTGTGAATCGTAACCGACTCCATGGCATCACCACCACCGAGTAGCAACACACACTACAAAAAGATTAGGTACCAGGTCAGTCAACTCCTGTGTAATGACCAATAGTTAGAGATTAAATGTGTTGCTTAACTAGAAGTTTAGTTGCCATTTCTTCAATAGGCCCCTAAGAAAGTTGTCTGACTTACTTGAGCTGCAGCTTCATTATCTATGCCTGACTTCCTGCCTAGTGTAACTCATCAAATCAGAAAATAGAAATAAAGATCTCTGTTAATGAATAGAGTGCTGTATCATTGTGAGGGATTAGTTTAAATTTTTCCTCTCATTGCATGATGAATTAGTAAAACTAATGAAAACTCTGTTCCTTTAGATTGAAAGAGGAAATGTGGATGGTACAAATCGAATGATCCTGGTCTATCACCTTTCCCATCCTTGGGGAATTGCTGTCTATGATTCCTTCCTTTATTATTCTGATAAAGACTATGAGGTCATTGAACGAGTTGACAAAGCCACTGGAGCCAACAAAGTAGCCTTGAGAGACAATGTTCCAAATCTGAGATGCCTTCGAATTTATCACAGACATGGTAAGAATTTGCTGCTGAGTGGGTGTATATTTTCATGTATGTTTTCATGCCCACACACTCACATATAAACACACATGCCCACGCTGATAAATATACACATGCAAACATTATACAGTGTATTGTTGAAAAGCATGGTTAAGCATGGTTAACTGACCAAGTTCAGTTTGGCACCTAAAAGAACAGTTAGCTTTGTTTCATTCACTTTACCTCATTACTTTGCACTCCCTGAGATGTTATTTATTTGTTAGGTGCTACGTTTCATAAGGGCAGGTGCTTAATTTTGTTGTCCGATGTACATCTAGATCCTAGAAGATGCTCAGCTAGTATGTGTTAGATGACTTCTGAGGCAGTATACCGGATAGAAATGTTAATGATAAAAAAGGGAATACTCTTAGATATTGCCTATTTGAATGTTTTTCAATGCTTCTTGTTATTTTTTATTGCATGTAGAAAAAAAGCTTCAAATATTCTTATTTAATACATATTCAAAAACAAATTCTCATCACGCTGTCAATTATGTAACCCAGTTAATATAATTTTAAATGCTAAGAGTTAAACCTCGCCAATTCTTGTATAATTTGTAGGACAAAAGCAATTGTCGTCCCACTCCCTAATATGTAATAGTTGTAGTACTGTTTTCATACGTTTAGGTGTTAATAGCATAAGTTCCCGTCTCTCCAACATTGTTTGTAGGTTATTATCTGAGATACTGTGTTTGTTGTTATTATTGGTTTTGATAATATGATAATAATAAGACCAAAAGTTACAGATGCATTTTTATTTGATTTAGATTCTGCCTCAAATGGCTGTAGCAACAACATGAATGTGTGTCAGCAGATCTGCCTGCCTGTCCCAGGAGGCCTGTTCACCTGTGCCTGCGCCACTGGATTTAAGCTAAACCCTGATAATCGGACCTGCTCCCAGTATAGCTCTTTCATTGTTGTTTCCATGCTGTCTTCAGTTGAAGGGTTTAGCTTGGAATTGTCTGATCACTCACAGGCCATGGTGCCAGTGGCAGGTCCAAGTAAGTTAACTCCAATATAAGAAAGATTTCTCTTCAGCTGGTGCTGTGTTGAAGCCCCTGGTGTCATAAAAGCCTTTCTCTGGAATCAGATTTTAGGATGTAGCAGAATCAACCTGGAGGGTCTGTCAAAGGATATTAGGGCTGTATCCCAGAGTTCTAAAAAATTTACTTTCAGAGTATGGTGATGCAGCTGGTCCATGGACCACACTGAGAACCACAGACCTAGGACAGAATGTAGCATGGTTTTCAGGTAGTGTTTCAGAATTGGTGTTCAGAATTTGTGCCTTATTTATGTCAGGGAAGATTTAGGGTAGAAGAAATACTATTAGTCCACAATCTGATTTATTAATCTATATGTGGTGAATTGAGTAGATGAATACAATGTACTAGTTTGTCTTTAATAGCCATATTTTCACAGAGCTGTATTCTTGCATACTATGAATACATGAAATAGCTTGTCTTCTACATGAACCAAGAGGTTTCTAGGCCAAGAGGAGCTAACTGTTTACTAGCATCGCAAGGGGTATGCCACAGGTTAGAAACAGAAATAGAGGGCAAAAAAGAAAGACAAACAGGAGAAGGAAAAATCGAGTTGGGAAAGGCAGGAGAAAGAGAAATGCATATGGTCATAATCATAGTCACATGCATGTCACCCACATTTGTTTTTCATTATGTTGGCTCCATAGGATAAGCACTGGTTGGTTAGTGATCTGAGCCCACCAGCTGAAATTCTCTGCTCCCACAAAGATTTAAAGTCTCAGAAACCCTATACAGGGACACATGGGTCAGAACCGACTCAATGGCACATAACAATAATAATATATTATCTTGTAATTTTTACATAAAATTTTAAGAAGGGTTCAGTGAACATCTTTATAATCTTCACCTAGATTCAACAGTGCGTATGCATACTCACACCTTTTATGACTCTCTTGAAATATAAACATATCATGACATCTCATCCGTACGTACTTTACTATGCACTCCTTAGAATAAGGTCATTTTCATATTAATATTTCACCAGTTGTCCTGAGAATGTTTTTTTATAGCTGCTGTTTTGTTCAAGCTAATGTCTAATCCCTGTAAATAGCTTGCTCCCCAAACCCTTCTGCTGAATGTTAGTAATCACTGATGATCCTTTTCTGAAATGGTTGTTTAACTGGCTATTGCAAAATGGTAATTTTCTAATGCTATAGTTTCTTTTGCATTTATTAGATAATATTCCTGAGAGATCTCATTGATTCCCATTTTATCTTTTAAACATTTAGTATCACTCAGTTTTTTTATATTTTTGTAAAAATATGTATGTACTATTTTTGTAATAATCAATCACCATAATAACCCTTTTGATGCTGCAGCTGAATCATTTTGGCCAGGGAATGCCTCTTCAAGGGGCCACCTATAACCCTTCTGACATGATCCTATTTGTGTTCTTTGCTTTTTGGCACAGTAACTTTTTACAGGTTCATTTTTACCTTTTCAGCTCCAAACATATAATCAACCATTTTCCAGTTGTGGGAAATATTTGGAAGCTATGATTTGAGCAGTAGGTGTGCTTATTGCAACTGGCAAATATATTTGTAATGGGGAATGGTTAGGGCTTGGTTTGGGAATGAGAGTTTGAGAGGAAGGGCAGGCATTTAGAAACTGTAGCTCAAGCTAGAGCATGGTTTAATAATCTTTTCTTTAACTGTTCCAGGACGAAATGCACTGCATGTGGATGTTGATGTGTCTTCTGGCTTTATTTATTGGTGTGATTTCAACAGTTCTGTGGCTTCTCAGAACGCAATCCGTAGAGTCAAACCAGATGGGTCTTACTTTACCAACATTGTTACCAATGGAATAGGACAAAATGGAGTGCGGGGTATTGCAGTGGATTGGGTAGCAGGTAAGTAAACAGTGATTGTAGTGAAAAGTCCTTTTGTTTTTATGTCTGAGTTAGAAGTGTCTGAATATTTCAAAGAAAGGCCTATTAAAATATAAACCATAAAGCAGTATCTGTTTCCCTTGAGGCAGTTTTACTTGCAAAATTCTTGTTTTCCTCTTGTTAACTAATAACATTTTTTTATCATTAAGTACTTTCTCTATTAGTAGTGAGAAACAGCACAATATTGGGTTAACTTAATTCTACTGATTCATGCAGTCAATTTTGAATTACCACTCACATTTATACTTTTTACAATATAATCCCTTTTGTATTAAATAAGTATCATTGAATAGTAGCTTGGTAAATAGGTATCACTTAGAAACATTAATATGCATTATAAGGATATAGAAGTCGTGGTGTGGTACTGTAGCATAAGCAGTGGACTGCTAACTGCAAGGTCAGCAGTTCAAACCCACCAGCAGCTCCTTGGAAGCCTAGACAGGATTGCTATCAGTAAATCTAGGTACTCTAATAGTTTGTTGCAAATAATAAAATGGTAGTACAGTTAGATATATTGTTTCTGAGAGTGTAGATAAAGCAGGGGTTACCAATCAATTTGACTGTAGAACTCAAGTTAACTGACTGCTTTTATAAATACATTTTATTAGAACACATCCATGCCCATTTGTCTATGACTGCTCTAAGGATTGCGGGTAGCATAGTGGTTTCAAGTTGGGCTGCAAACCGCAAGATCAGCAGTTGGAACCTACCAGCTGGATTAGGTCTTTGCTCAGAAACTCTATACAGGACCACTAAAACCACCATCACCAACATGGCTGCTTTAGTGTTTCATTGGCAAACTTGTGATAGAAACCATATGGCTTGCAAAAATTTTTATAGAAAAAGTTTGTCAACCTCTGGATTAAATGATTGTGGTGTATGTATATCATTAGATGTAGGTAATTAAAAGGAACATATAAGTAGCACATTACATGTCAAATTGATTTCTCTAGAGCAATTTTGAATCAACTCTAGGCACAAAGTAGATGTACCTTGGTAGAATATTGAAGTTCAACAATATAGAAGAAGTTTGGAATCACTGTCCATTCATACTATCTGCACACTGAAAACCTGGATACTAATTGTTCTTGTTGTTAGGTGCCATTGAGTCGTTACCGACTCATAGTGACCCTATGTACAGCAGAACGAAACACTGCCCAATCCTAGGCCAACCTCACTTACCATTGCCATGCTTGAATCCACTGATGCTGCTACTTGGCTAATCCATCTTGGTGGGGTTCTTGCTCTTTTTCTCTGACCCTCCACCCTACCAAGCATGATATCTTTCTCCAGCAACTGGTCCCTCCTTACAATATGTCCGAAGTATGAGAGACGAAGTTTGGCCATACTGCCCTTCAAGGAGCACTCTGGCTGAACTTCTTCCAACACAGATCTGTTGGTTCTTTTGGTAGCCCACGGTAACTTTCAATATTCTCCTCCAACACCATAACTCAAAAGCATCAATTCTTCTATGGTCTTCCTTATTCACTGTCCAGCTTTCACATGCAAATGAGGTTATTGAAAATACCATGGCTTGGGTCAGGTGCACCTTAGTCCTCAAGCTGACATCTTTGCTCTTTAACACTTTAAAAAGGTCTTGGGCCCTAATGCAATACATTGTTTGATTTCTTGACTGCTGCTTCCATGAGTGTTGATAGTTGATGCAAGAAGAATGAAGTCTTGACAACTTCAATCTTTTCTCCATTGATAAGAATGTTGTTTATTGGTCCAGTGGTGGGGAGTTTTGTTTTCTTTACATTGAGATGCAATCCATACTGAAGGCTGTGCTCTTTCATCTTCATCAGTAAATATTTTAAGTCTTCTTCACTTTCAGCAAGCAAGGTTGTATCATCTGAATATCGCAGGTTGCTAATGAGTCTTCCTCCAAACCTGATGCCACGTTTTTCTTCATCCATAGTGACCCTGTATAGGGTTTCCAAGGAGTGGCTGGTAACTTGAGCCATCGACCTTGCAGTTCAAACCAACTTTGCAGTCCAGTGAATTAACCCACCGTACCACACCAGTACTCCAATGTTAAATATTCAGTTCAAGTGGAAGAGGAAGGATATTTTAGAAAAATTTCAATAGAAAGTGGGCTCTGATATTAGTTATAAAGTCTAATCTGCTTAATAAGTTGAGGATAGGAAGAAGCAATCTCTTTAACCCCTTAAATATTTTTTTTAAGTTAACATTGAGACATTTATTTATAAATTTGGAAAAGACAACATATACTAACCCAAGTCTCCTACATATTTTATTCTGAATTTGAAAATCGTTTATCCTTTATTTTCTTACAGGGAATCTTTATTTTACCAATGCTTTTGTGTCTGAGACACTGATAGAAGTTCTTCGGATCAATACTACCTACCGTCGTATTCTTCTTAAAACCACAGTGGATATGCCAAGGGATATTGTTGTAGACCCCAAGAACAGATACCTCTTTTGGGCTGACTATGGGCAGAAGCCAAAGATTGAACGTGCTTTTCTTGATTGTACCAACCGAACTGTGCTTGTATCAGAGGGCATTGTCACACCACGGGGCCTGGCAGTGGACCATAACAATGGCTACATTTATTGGGTTGACGATTCTTTAGATGTGATCTCAAGGACCCATATTATTAGTGGTGAATCCGAAGTGATCCGAGTTGGCAGTCGTTACCCAACTCCTTATGGTATCACTGTTTTTGGAAATTCTATTATATGGGTAGATAGGAATTTGAAGAAAATTCTCCAGGCTAGCAAAGAGCCAGGGAACACAGAGCCACCAACAGTGATAAGGGACAATCTCAATTGGCTAAGAGATGTGACTGTGTTTGACCAGCAGGTCCAACCCCGATCATCAGCAGAGGTCAATAACAACCCTTGCATGGACAATAATGGTGGGTGCTCTCATCTCTGCTTTGCTCTGCCCGGATTGCAGGCCCCCAAATGTGGCTGTGCCTTTGGGACCATGGAAAGGGATGGCAAGAGTTGTGCCCTTTCAACAGAAAATTATCTTATCTTTGCCTTGGAAAATTCATTAAGAAGCTTACACTTGGACCCAGAAAACCATAGCCCACCTTTCCGTACAATAAATGTGCAAAGAACTGCTGTAGCCTTGGACTATGATAGCACGAATAATAGAATCTACTTTACACAAAATTTGGATTCTAGACGGGGCCAAATTTCCTCTGTCAGCCTATATTCAACGGACAGTTCTTTATCAGTCATTGCTTCAGGTAAGCAATTTTATGGCAGCTAATTTTGACACAATCAGATCAACACACATGGATGAACCAGGTTGTTCTAAAATGCATATTGAGACCCTAATGCCTTTGTGTGTGTTTTGTATGTTTGTTGGTGTGTACCCAGGTGTAGGTACTACTGATGGCATTGCCTTTGACTGGATCAATAACAGAATTTATTACAGTGACTATGTCAACCAGACAATTAACTCCATGGCCGTTGATGGGTCTAACCGCACTGTGATAGCCCGTGTTTTAAGACCAAGAGCGATTGTGTTAGATCCTTGCAGAGGGTATGTCAGAGTCTTCTTAATCATATTTTTGTCTTTATATATTATGGGGAGGATGTAGCCTGACATTAGTGTATGCTCATAGAGAGCCATATTTTCTGAGTTAATAGCACTATGGGTACTGACTCAAGAATGAAAGAACATTTGAGCAATTTCACGTGATTGGGAGGGGGCAGTGTACAACCCCTTTAATGCTAGAAAGGTAGTAGCACAATACAGAGTCAGACTCTGACTCAGTAAATCCTTGTTGGGCAACTTGTCTTTGAGAATGGAGTAGGGTTCCTTTTGCCATATCAAAGACAATTTTCAATTGAATAATGTTGCCTTTAGAAAAACAATCAAAGGCATATGGGGTTCATGCGGTGTATTAAATTTGATTCCTTTTGAATGACTAGGTACATGTACTGGACTGACTGGAGTATGAACGCCAAAATTGAGAGAGCCACATTGGGAGGCAACTTCCGGGTACCCATCGTGAACAGCAGCCTGGTCTGGCCCAATGGGCTCACTCTGGACTATGACGAGGAGCTTCTCTACTGGGCAGATGCCAGTCTGTATGTGTCTTTGGTGACTTCTGTGGTGTTGATGGAGAAGAGGTCTTTCCTCCATTTCCAAAGAAGATGGCTTTGCTTTGTGTGATGAAAATACAATATGCCAATATTAGAATGGCTAAAATGTAGAATCACCGTTTCAGGATTTATATTATATTAGAATTTGGTGAACATACCTGTGGAAATTTAATCTATATCATAAGATTGAATAGTTATAAATTAGAAGAATCTAAAGATTGTAACTGTAATTAAATTTGTTGCTGTTGTTTATAAGTGATGTTGAGTTGGTTCTGATTCATAGCAATCCTGTGTAGGGTTTCCAAGGAGCGTCTGGTAGGTTTGAACCAACTACCTAGCAGTTAGTAAGTCCAGTGCTTATCCTACAGTATCACACTGTTGTTGTTGTTGTTAAGTGCCGTCGAGTCGGTTCCAGTATCACACTAGAACTCCATAATTAAATTACTTAATTTATAATTTATAGGCCCATGCAACTACTATAAAACATGAATGGATTTTAAATGCACACTGATAGTAAGTTTTCTCTTGGCTTTAGCATTGTTTTTAAAAAAAATGCTTTTCTTTAGTTTGGGCTTTTGGTCAATTTATCAAATAGACTCTTCTTCTCTATCAAGCTACTTCCCAGCAAGTTTTATGTTATTTTTATGAACTTTTGTTAACTATAACTTTATATGTAAGTTCTCTAGTTATTGTTGTTATGTGCCATGGAGTTGGTTCCGACTCATAGCGACCCTGTACAGGATTTCCGAGGTTGTAAATCTTTACGGGAGCAGAAAGCCTCATCTTTCTCTAAGAACTTTCTAAATCAGTCAAACCATATTAATCCTAACTGAATAGTTTGTTAAGGTTGGTTCCTACATGTCAGGAATTTTCTTCTTTCTCATTTTTGTTATTTTGGTCTTGCAACATTGAGCACCTAATAACCTTATCTGTTCTTCATTTTCTCATTTGAAATGAGGCGGCAAGGCTTTGTGGCATTTTGATCATTCTGTGTAAACTCCCCAAGGTGCTCAGAAAATGTCAAATCAAAACAGTTATTTAGGAAGGTATTTCATCTCTTTATTCTGCTTCTACTGTTGGCCTACTGTAAGATTGCTAGTAGCTTATATTAATATTTGGAAGCCAATGAGTTCTATAGACGGTGGTTTGATAAGCAAATGCCTTCTGTCATCTGAATGTTTGCATTTTTTTTACTGCAATATGTACACTTGTGTTAAAAAAAAAAAGGGGGGTTTGTGTCACAATGGTTGGAGTTAGGCATTGGGCTGCTACTTGGGAAACTTTTTTTAGATTTCAGCTTTTTTCTCTTTAACTTCATTCTAGGCAGCGGATCGAGCGTAGCTCTCTAACGGGCACGGATCGCGAAGTCATCGTCAGTACAACTTTACACCCTTTTGCCTTGACTCTCTATGACCAGTATATTTACTGGACTGACTGGTACACAAAGTCAGTTTACCGAGCTAACAAGTACGACGGGTCTGGTCAGATTGTAATGACCACCAATTTGCCCAGTCGGCCCATGGGTATTCGCATTTCTGGAAAGAGCCAACAACAACAATGTAGCAATCCTTGTGGTCTATTTAATGGGGGCTGCAGCCACATCTGTGCCCCAGGTAAGCCATTGTTCATGAAGATAGAAACATAGAGAGTAATAGGTGTCAAAATCCATACTTTGATTTCAGCACAGGATCAGCACTGGACTTAGACCCACAAGGTCAACAGTTGAAACCCATCCATCAGCTGTTCCTCGGAAACCCTATGCAGGGTGGCTATGAGTCGGAACCGACTTGATGGAAATTAAAAACAACAGCAGAGGAGTGGCTGGTGTGTTAGAACTTCTGAACTTGTGGTTAGCAGTCTAGTGCTTATCCTGTATCACAACACCAATACTTTTTCATAACACCAGGACTCTTAACTGCCCTTTTGCTTTAGAGTTACTGAGGTCAATTTGATCTTATAAATTGTTGGCATTAAGGTTGGTGTCATAGGTTTCTGAGGCTGTAAATCTTTGTGGGAACAGTTTGTGGGCCTGAACCACCAATCTTGTGGTTAGCAGTCCAATGCTTATCTTACAGAGCCTACCACAGTCCCTCATCTTATATGGTGGTGGTGGTTATGTGCCGTGGAGTTGGTTCTGACTCATAGTGACTCTATACAAGGTTTCTGAGGCTGTGAATCTCTACAGAAGCAGAAAGCCTCATGAATATATAATTTTTAAAAATAGTACAATGCTTAAGACAAACATTCTTTTCTAGTTGGTCTGTTGTTTGGTTTAAGAAAACTTCAGGGATAATTTCCATTCGAAGTTTAAAGATTATTACAGGTCTATGGGTTTTGGGATTCCTTCAGTCTCAGTGATTCTAGGAATTCTGGATTCTATACAAATTTAAAAATCTGTTCTATGTGTCCCCCTCCCCCAATCCCTTTGGATTAGAAGGCATCTTTTGAATCCTTGATCAAAACTTTGAGTCATGATAGCAGTTCTTCTGGTGTCATAGTATAGGGCAAGCAGAAGCTCACAGAGGCAATTAAGACTTGTAGTCCTGTTCCTCCTCGGATTCTTGAGTCATCGTCATCTGTATGGGGACATTTTAATGTCAACTTTATTAGAGGTGGAAAGCAAGACTGTGGCTTTTTTTGGTGGGGGGGCGTTACGTTCATGACTTGAGCTTACCTTTGATTCTATCACTTAGAACATTTGTTTTGTTTTTATAGTTTGAAATGTTTCTGGTGATGTTTTGGGGTGTGTTTTCTAGAGAACAATAAAAGATGTTCCTTTTGATACCTGTAGCTTTGCAAATGATGCTGAGAAAGAAGAGCCACTGCTGTTGCTTTGATGTAGATTAGAAGTTATTGTTTAAAGATTAGGGTGACCTTTCCACAGCCCTTACAGATTGTGTGATTGTTCTTGGTGGGGAAATGACAGGCAGTGTTTCTGTAGCTTATCTTTGTAGAGTTGCTGTGAATAATCTTCAGGAGGAAAAAATAAGAATGATTGCTACACAGATCTTTTTGTCTCTTGGGCTTATCTTTCTTTAGGTCCAAATGGAGCTGAGTGCCAGTGTCCAGCTGAAGGCCACTGGTATCTGGCCAACAACAATAAACACTGCATTGTGGACAATGGTACCCGCTGTGGTGTCTCTGAGTTCACCTGCCTCAATGGGCACTGCATCCCAGAGGACTGGAAATGTGATAATGACCCTGAGTGTGGCGATGGCAGTGATGAACTGGAAAATGTCTGTGGTGAGTGTTGAGGGTTCTTGTGTAAGGGCAAAATAAAATAGCATGGGGCTTAATGCATGATTTAGCATAGAATTAAGGGATTCAATAGGTGATTGTTATCATACTATCATTTTTTTTACAGCAGTAGGGTCATTAATCTAATAATTTTACTGAAATGACTCCCAATCCTCAGTTTAATATAGTAGAAATATCCCAGGAATTACAGAGGTGAGTTACCTTTTTCTAACACACCATATAGAGTTTCCAAGGAGCAGCTGGTGGGTTTGAACCTCTGACTTTTCAGTTCAAACCATCCTTGTGGTCCTGTGCTTATACTATAGCACCACACCAGGTTCTCCATATGTTGTTGTTGTTAAATGCCATTGCGTCGGTTCTGACCTGTAGTGACCTTGTATAGGTCACTCCTAGGAGTGGCTGGTGAGCTTGAACCACTGACCCTGAGGTTCAGTCTGACTTTGCAGTCCAGTGCATTAACCCACAGTGCCACACCAGGACTGCATGGACTCCACATAGGGGTTGTTGTTTGTTGTTAAGTGCCGTCGAGTCGGTGCTGACTCATAGTTACCGTGTCTAGGGTTTCTGAGCCATACTTATGTTTTAGGTGAAACTACACACAGTAAGATTGGTTCCTGTTCATCGACACACATTTCTACATCTGTTGTTCAGTGTCATTAGTTGCATTTTTCACATGTGTTAACCTTCTCATTATTTCCACTCGAGCTGTTCCATGTCTTCTGACTTCATCTCATGGTCTCCCAACCTGAGCACTCAGGTTGGCCATTTGATCTCAGTACTCAAGAGTGACACCTGAGACCAACTTTTAAATTGTGGTCATAGAGGAATGGAACGACTTTGACATTTGTTGAAAGACTCCATTGGCATACAAAATATATTTCGTTTAATATGATTAACTTAAAGTCTTAACTCACTTTGTGAACAGTCCATTTTGTAGCTGTTTTTACCTTGGAAGGTAAATTCCGTTTGATTTGATTGTGTGTTTTCTCTTAGCTTTTCACATCTGCCCATCGACCAGCTTCACCTGTGCCAACGGGCGGTGTGTCCAATACCGTTTCCGCTGTGACCATTTCAATGACTGTGGTGACAACAGTGATGAAGCAGGGTGCCTGTTTAGGCCCTGCAACACCAGCACAGAGTTTGCTTGCACTAATGGAAGGTGCATATCTCTTGAGTATGTCTGCAATGGCATAAACAACTGTCATGATAATGGCACGTCAGATGAGAGAAATTGCCGTAAGTTCATTCACATACTTCTTCCGCTTTGGGACCTGAAGTCTTAGATTATAGGAAATGAAATTTCTAGAGAAAAACAAAAACCAACTCTATCTAATATTTGAATTATTCATTGAAGTTGAATGCATACAGCCACTGGATAATTTAACCGTGAATATTTTATCCTTTGTTTCTATGTGCTCTAAAGCTTACCAATAATACCCACATCCATTGAGCCCCTTGTACAGCGTATCTGAGGCTGTAAATCTGGTGAAGAGTTTTTTAGTGAATTGAATTTTCTAAGCATTCTGTAATTTGTATTTCAGTCTGTCAGGAAAATAAAAGTACAGCATATAAGAGCAGGATAGTTTATTTTGGGCATGTCTACATACTCTGAGCTTTTACAGAGAGAGTAACATGCAATGTTAATTTGGGCCTGCTTTTTTTTTCTGGGAAATGTCAGCCCTACACAAAAATAGAAAGAACTGTGTTACGTTATTCAGCAGCCATTGCTCATATCAATCTTGTTTCCTCCATCTCTTCCGATTTTTTCCCCCTGAGTACTTTAAAGTAACTTATAAACATGCATGTCACTGAGATTTGGAAATACACGACTACTCTGCCATTATAATGCCAAGCAAAATCAGTAAGAATTACGTAATATTCTTTAGTACCCAGTTCATATTCAGATTTTGTCACTTAGTCCCAAAATGTCCTTTGAATCCAAATGAGAGCTGCCTACTGATTTTGGCTTTATAGGCCTTTGCACTGTCTAGGGAATATATATGAAGGGTTTTCAAAAAATTTGTGAAAAAATGGAATTAAGATAATGGATTTTTTTCCCCATAAACTTTTTGAAGCCCCCTTGAATTTATTATACACATTATAGACAACCTACGGTTCTGTATTTTGTTTTCTTACTATTAGTACTCAGTCCTGGGCCTCATATTTCATTAGTATGTAGAGATCTTTTTCAGTATTTTTTATAGCTAATTGTACTCTGTTGTGTGGAGGTGACAGTTTATTTAACCAAGAGTGGGATTCTTTGTTACTGTTAAATAATGAAAGCAGATTATTTCAATTAGAAGTCAGCCTCACCCCCACCAACTGGAAAGCTATAGAGCAGCATAAGTGTTATAGATCGCACCTCGCTGATAGCCTTTGAAAATGCCCCCCTTCTTCTAGAGGTTTGA